GTAACATATTAAGAGTTATTCAGATAACTCTAGCATAAAGAACATGCTAACAAGTTGACCAAACTATCAGTTTCACTCCAAATCACTAAATCCAGTGAAATCTTCATCCTCGGTGTCACTTTTAAACAACTCCCCCAACTCGGGAGGTAGACGATGCGCCGCTTCCTCTTCTACGTCGCTTATGTCAGACTCATCTTCGATTTATCAACACAGGCCGAGCGCGCCCTCTTGTGGTTTAATGTGAAAATAACATGTGAAATGACATAATCAGGTGTTAATAATTTCACACACGTCGCTCCAGAGTATAAGTCGCACCCCCGGTCAAACTATGAAAAAAAAACTGTGACTTATAGTCCGGAAAATACGGTAGTTGCAAATACGCATTCGCGCTCCTCTCTCATCCCGGCTCCAGCAGCCATCCATCCAGCGCACCAATGCAGACTGTCCGACAGCGCCGACATCTCTGCTGAACAAAACAGGGCTGTGAAAAAATGCTCCCCATCACTGTCGCGAAAAACACAAGCGCCTGTCCAGCAGCGACAGTCAAGTAGCGCCGACATTCCTCCAAATCAAAATCACTGCTGGTAACCATGTGCTGCGGAGAAGACTCAACCACCAAGCACGGATTCTTCTCCATCGACGAATGTCATAGCCAAAACGCTGAAAAACAGTCCACATTGGGCCCACATGAAGGATAACCCAACACCATATGACAAAAGACGAAAACAACAAAAAAATCAAAGCTTTTGCAGAGCTCTTGCCGACTGCTGCCAACTACAGCGCCCATCTAGAAAAACTCATATCATATATTAACTGGCAATACACACACACTGACAAACGGTATCATGAAAAAATACATTACTATTAGACAAAACAAAACTGATAGTAGAATAATTTAGATTTGTTCTGGAAAAAAATAGGAAAACAAAATAATGCGAATATGACAAAAATACTGTGAGAATGTCTCATGCGCAGGTCTATCGATCAATCTGTACACATATATACTTATTCACACACAGAACAAGTAAGAAAAAATATGGAACAAGTATAAAATAAAGCAAAAATAGCGTTGACATCTGGCTAGTTAGAGCTGGAGCACGTAGTGTCACCTGCAGATCCAGCTTTGCCTGCTACTCTTGCTCCTGCTTTGCTTGTAGATGACTTCGCGAACAGTTTGGCGATCTAGGCATCGAGCTCTTTGGCCTTCTTGATGGACTTCAGCAGTTCAGAGGTAATGGCTGGAAGCTTTGTCCTCGGTGAACGTGAACACCAGCACATCGGTTACCTCCATGAAGTTCTTTTTCTCCACTTTGCTGACTGCAACCCTTCGGTTGCCGCAGTGATCCACCAAAGCCATACAGAATTTATGATAGTTCTTGGAAAGTTCTCCAGCATGTCTGTCAGGTTTATCCAATTTGACACTCAGGAATAAAACACAAGGAGGAGACAGGAGACTCAATTCTGGTACCAGGAGGTAACGAGGAGAAGCGTTCGGTTTCAGTTCTCGGCACGTCACCCCTCATGATCTCCCCCTTCACCCCCTCATTTATTGGGAAATGTACTACATAGGTGTGTCCAACCTAAAGGGTGGGGGCTGTTGAAGACACACTGAACTTGTTTGACTATCTGTGTGTATGTGAGTGTAAATTACGTACATGTGTGCAATTGTTACAAAAACATCACGTTGCAGCTGGTGTTGATGGCGCCATTCACTGTCCAACCTTGCTCCTGTTTAGTCTTAACACTTATCTCTTCCCAACCACGTCCTCGGAAAGGTGGTTGCATCCCTAAACTTCCACACAGTGCACTAAGCATTCTTGATTATAAATGTGAGTATATAAATATAATACAAAGGATTATAAATGTGAGTACATAATGATTAATATATCTTTATTAGAAGCATAAGCGTTCTTCATTGCAGGCATAGTCAATTAATGATTGCAGGCATAAGCATTCTTCTTTGCGAGCATAATCACACTAACTGGGAAAAACAGATGAATATTACAATGCAACACTGTCTAGAAATCTGCGCCAAATGTTGACATTGTAAAATACTCAGTTGAAGAACATTCAGAAGAAATCACAATGTCCCATCACTGATGAGCTAGTTTCAGACCAAGCCCACAGGCTACTCATGTGGTCCTTGCGGCTGTGTGGTGCCGGATGAAGAAGCACTGTTGCATTCAACTGAACTCTTTGAACTTCACTTTTGTTCCTTGAAAAGAAGGTGTACAACCGCATAGTCTGATTGGGACTTTTTGGGCCTTAGGATATTAAGATGGCAACAAAAGGGGTGTTCACACGGCAACATTTGGTCCGACACTGCACCGGCGCTGCGCCAGTAGAGCGTTCACACGTGCAAATTTGCTCCGGCGTAGCGCCGCAAAACAGCTTACACCGGATCAAATTTGATACACCTCGGGGAGGTGGTTTAAAAATTTGCTCCGGAGCAAATGCTCGTTTGCGAGGGGGGAGTAGCCTCGCTACGTATGAGAAGAGTTGATTACGTACGGCGAGAATGCGTTGCTTTCATGCTCTGTCGGACTTCCGTTATGTGTTTGTTTAATAACGACACAAGACAAGGCTGGTAACAGTAGCAAAGCACCTCTTGGGTTATACCATCTGAACTAGAACGGGGGGGGGGGAGATAGTCCCCAAACGTCATCTTTCCTTTTGTAGGAGACTGGACTGTCTCGGAGTTGTGTGTGTAGTTTGTTCCTTTGTTGTGTGTTGAAAACCCCTGTGCCCGATAGAATTTATTTCGTGATTTCCTCTTTTGATTTTTCTGTTTGGCGCATTACATTTTTGCTTTTCTTAGTGTCATTGAAGTCATCGTTGATTTACGTTATCGGGGGGCGGTCACTCTCAAGCAGAAGGCACGGAGACCGAGAAGGAGAAGGACGTGCCTGTACTGTAGTTGCTTGAGTTGTGTATACGTTTAAAAAAAGAACCAACACGACAGCTCATTTGTTTTCTGTCGTTTTGCTCCGCTGCAGAAACTGCCGTGTGAACCCAAGTGGGGCTGCACCGACGCTGCTAACATGCTCAGCGGCTTTGTACGTGTGAACGGTCCACAAAATTTGCTCCGGTGTAAAATATATCGCAACAAAATACATCGGTGCAGCGCCGGATCAAATGTGTGCCGTGTGAACACCCCTTAACTAAAAATGCTGTATTGGGACATACAGGGGACCAAAAAAAGAAGTGATTTTATGCATTTTCTATTTTATTTTTTTTACATTTAATTAAATAGAAATTAATCAGCATCTGTCTCAAAAAAAAATCTCTCAGTCGGGCCCTCTTAAGTACAGTAAATATTTGTACGAAAAACACACCTAAGACATGAATATAAAACAATGAAATAAAAAAACAGTAAATACAGCGGTAACTGAGCCACTTTTTGGTCTCAACAAGCCGGATGAGAATCACCGAGTTAGTGTGTTGCAAAGGTAACACACCCACAGTGTGCAAATCTACGTTCAGTCCAAAAAAAATACAATAACGTAATACACTGCTATACAAAGTACGCTGCTAATTCAGCCATTTTGTCTTTAGGCTTTTTTGGGGGGCCACGACGTCCCCTGCCTCGCCCTCGTCCTCGCCTCGCACCTCCACCTCGGTGCATGGGGTGCCTCATGGTAGCGTGTTTAAGTTCCACAAGACCCTGGAAGACTGAATCACAGAAAACACAGCCGGTGTGTTGGGTCTCACCGGCAGGCAGTGGAGTGCGGGCTTTATTGAAGTCTACAGTGACCAAGGAGGCATCGCAGGCATTGCAATTCTCTTGAGCAACCTGCACAAATCAGAAATGCAGTTTTCATCAAATCTCAGGGACGAGCTCACTCGGCACCAGTGAGGAAAATAAGTGCTTCTTTGAGCAAGAGGAGATTTATGATCAAGTTTTACAATAAAGAAGGCATCAATTTTTCATCCGCTAGATGTCGCAGTCAGGCAGGCCATGTTCACATCGCAGGGCGTGATGCCCAATACTATTTTTGAATCTCCTCTTTTTCTGTTGTCATTCATATGACAAAAACAATTCCTTATGGTAATGTTAACTGAACCCGTCCTTAATGTGAAAAGTATGACGTCGAGTGACACATGCAAAAGATTCGATACGCAGTAGGGTTGACGGAAGTGAACATGATCAAACGTGTAGGGGCTCATTTTTTTTTATCATCTTATATCGACAGAGGAGCAATGCGGGAGGTGGTGCAATTATCCTGGGGAAATCAGGTGACGCTTTACTTTCTCTTCATATCATGGAGAAGTTCAGTAAAATGACGGAAAATAAAGGTGATGTGACGTCACTGCCGCGCGTTATAAATGAACCGTCTGTGTAGCTGAATGACATTTATCATAGTGTATGCCGTATATTTATAATATCCAGGTCAAGTAACGAGTTTACACTTCAGATCTTTGCTTTAATATCCCTTATTCAGCCTCAAACTCATAGTTTGGTGAAAAGTTTTGCACGTTTTAAGTAATGAAAATAAAATCTATTCGATTTGCTCTCTGCAGAATCAGGATTGTCCTCCGCGGAATCAACATTTCTTCTCTTTTGATTCCTTGGGGGCCTAATCTCTAGTTTTACTGTTCAATCACAAGGTTTTGTGTGTACGCATGGTCAGTTTTATGGATATTTATGGATATCCTCAATCATACACACAAGTCCAAATTGATCAATCGCATAATTGGCATGGGAATATTTTGTATGCATGCTTTATGCACGCTTCTCTGCATACACACTCTTGATAAATGAAGCCCCAGGTGCTGTAGTGAGCAAATTTTATAATTGTAGTTGTCTCTATTCAACAAGATATCGTTCTCTTTTTTTATTTAACAATTTAAAACAATTCCTAGATGTGTTCAATAACACGTCGGACATGTTTTTGTCAAAATAAAATGTTCCATCCCGTTTATAAAGCCTTACAGGACAAAGCCTTTAAGGACCATCTGTCTTATAAAAGTGAGTGCCACTTAACCCCCATCAATGGCAAGTAGAGAGTTTTTTTTTTTTTTTTTTTACCATGAGTACTCAGGAAGCATATGGAATAAACTTGTGGGAGTGGAGCCCAGCGTCTGGGGAAAAATACATACAAAAGCGATGTGTGGTGGGAAGTGATTCGTGAAACTGTTAACCCAGAAGTGGGTGCCCGTAAGGCAAGTGGATGTGAATAGGAAATTAGCCAGCTCATGAGCTTCAAATATGAATTATGAAACCTCTGCCATGAGTCTCTCACCAGACTTTTTTGGGGGGGTGGCACGGGGACAGACTGGTGAAATGTCAGGACAGAAGCGCTTTAAAAGGACGAGGATGGACCAGGACGGCGGATGATTATTTTCTGAATAAAAACGAAGGGATGACGATGGAAGGGTGCCCAGGCCGCGGGCGGAGGACATACAGGCAAAATAGGCTATTTCTTCTCTATATCTGTGGATATAGAGAAGAAAAGACGATTCACAGGACAAGACAATATAACCACTTATGAAGTATATTACCTGCACTCTATGTGCATGTTCAAAGAAATGTACGACGACGTTGCATCTATTACAGGACATCTTCCATTTTGGCCCAGAAGTTGGATCCAGCACCAAAACTCCACTGTCACACTCCACACACTGTCCAATACCCAAAGAGTTGAGAGAGTGTTGGCAGGAAGGATGGGTGCATTCATTGCATCCTACATCTAGGAGAATGGGGTAGGAATACAGAAGATAACATGAATTAGGGACAATGTTCCAAATATATACATCCATCCATCCATCCATTCATTCATTTTCCGATCCACTTATCCTCACAAGGGTCGCGGGGGGTGCTGGAGCCTATCCCAGCAGTAGGCGGGGGACACCCTGAACCGGTTCCCAGCCAATCGCAGGGCACACAGAGACAAACAACCATCCGCGCCCACACTCACACCTAGGACAATTTAGAGTGTTTGATCAGCCTGTCATGCATGTTTTTGGAATGTGGTAGGAAACCAGAGTACCCGGAGAAAACCCACGCAGGCCCGGAGAGAACATACAAACTCCACACAGGCAGGCTGGAGCTGGAATTGAACCTGTACCGGTACCTCTGCACTGTGAGGTCAACGCGCTAACCACTGGACCACTGGGCCACCCTCCAAATATATAATACAGAGTTTAATATGTATATATATAAAACCTCAAATGTGAATATTTAAGAATGTAAAATTTAGGGTTTTACTTTCTGAGGAGAATACCACTGCATCTAATATTACTAGGCAGTCGAAAAACATTTCCGATCCCACATGTTCATTTTCTGTTTGTAAACAAAATGCAAAATATGTATTCTTCAGGCAACAACAACTAAGTCTTTTCCTTTGAACAAGTAGTTGCATTTGCATGATATAAATTCATATTTGAAAAAGGCGTCTCTGCAAGCAAAGCATGATATGGCCTTGTAATTAGTCCACCATGGCTAAAAACCTTACCACGGAGCATTTCATGCTGGCACCTCAAGTGCAGTGAAAACTTTTTTTTTTTTTTTTTTTGATGACAGGCAAATCCAATCATGATATTCCTCATGTCTTTTAGTATTTGTCCAAGTCAAATGACAAGTCATCAAAACAGTGACTCAAGTCCTCATCTCTGTCAAAAAGTCCACAACTGGTGTTTTTTTCTTGTGTGCAGTTATGGTTGATTCCTGCTACACAAAGTCTGTCAGCTCCCTGATGCCCCCTCAATAGGACCCACCACCTAAGCCCTCAGAAAACTTCTTCAGGTGTCATGATCCATACCGCGATGGATGTCAGGGGTGTACACGGTGAACATAATTTGAGAAAGACCAGTGCTACTGTAATGGTGTTTTGTGTTGGGTCAAAGTGCTTTTGATTTTTGCAGCGCAACAGCATCCATTACATTCAAGATTTTCAAACTGAAATGATCCAGGAGTCCATCAAGTGAGTCCGCACTCACTGTTGGTGACGTAACTAATGGCTTCTATAAACTGAGCACTTGTTCCCTCATTAATGTACAGTACAGTACTTCTTCTTAACCAGCAGGGAAGAGGCTGTTTGAATCCTCAGAGAGATCAGTAATTCAAACAAAATACATAAAGTGGTCAGACAAGGCTATGTCAGATTAGATTTTATTTAAGTTTTTATTGTGTTTGGTTTTGAAGTTACCTTTGTTGATTGAGTATTTAATTCAGGTTGATTTTTATTCCTATTATTTCTATTTGTTTTTTTTTTTTGTTATAGCTGTTTACTGCGAATAAAAGTTGTCAAATGGCATGTTGTAGTATGGTCTTGTATCTATGAATTATTTGGGATAAGGAAAGGTGGGGCAGCATGGGAGTGGGCTCCAAATAAAATCTTGCTCAGGGCCCCAATTTGTGTGTGTGTGTGTGTGTGTGTGTGTATATGTATATATATAATATACATACGTATGTGCATGTGTGTGTTTATAGATGTGTATATGATATAGATGTGGGTGTGTGTGTGTGTCGCTTGAGGACACAGCAAGGCAGAGCTTGTCCTAACTTAACTTCCTCAGTCAGACGGATAACTGGATAGCTCAGTTGGTAAGGCACCAGTTTGGCGTACGGGAGACGGGGGTTCGAATCCCGCTTGGGGCAAAAAATGAGCACATAACACCATCCAGTGTGGGTCCTTGGTCAAGACCCTTCACGCTAATGTCTACCTCATACAGTGGTGAGAGACAATAACTCGAATGACATGCTGGCTCAGACGTCGCCCGGCCAAACAAGGTCTGCGTCAGGTGCTGGGGAACCAGAGCACCTCGATGAAAAATGGGCGACTGGAACAAAGCGGAGATGGGCGAGATGCGATAACATGGCTCTGTTGGAATGATACTACTCAAGCAACCCTAGTCAGAGGGGTTACATGCAGAGAATGCGGGCTGAATGGTTACTTCGAAACCCACAGTCACGGTTGACCACGAAACAACTAGTAGCTCAGTGTTCCAACATCCACAAACGGCAATTGCTGTCACAACTTGAGATTGACGAGGTACAACGCAGGGTCCACAGTAAAGGGCCCCAGGCTGCCAGATCACACGAGGAGGTCATACCAGAGATCGGGAGGCAAGCCCCAATGAAGGCAGATGATGAGATTGGGAGGCCAGCCCCAATGAATGAAATGCTGAGCGAGGCAGCAACTGACCTGAAAGCTAAGATCATGGCGAGAATGGAAGCTGAGCAACCTAGAAACCGATTACAACGACTATGTGAAGTACCACCTGAAAGCCTCATGGAAAGCGTGAATGCAGCACTGAGGGCGATCCCAACCATAACGATCACGGAAACCAATGAGCTGATATACGCTTCAGCATCAGTGATCCT